TGCCGGCCCCCCGGTTCGGGGACGACGGGCGGGGATCCGCTCCCCTACGGGGGGTGAGTCCTTCCCCCGTGGTTGCGGCGTCCCGGCGGTTTCCGGGAGGGGCGGGGCTACCCCGCCACATATGCATATAACATTCATCCAAATTACAAACATCCCTCAACTGGGCACAACATGAACACCCTGAGACTGAATGTCCACTATTTCACACCTTGTGTAGAATCTACATCAGTTTTAAGTGGCTATAAAAAGGGTGCAATATACTACCAAATCTGAATGATGTATTTTATATATTTTTGCACAGGTGTAAGGCCTCATCTAGACAAGAGTACCTGGTACTGTTGTAACTCAAGTTAATCAATTTACCAGTCAGCCCAAATTCACAAACAACATTTTAAATGCTTGTTTACACTCCTTCCTCCACAAACACGTTTGTATTGTAGGATACACTGAGAGACTGGGACAAGAAACAAACATTTACATCTGAGAACACAGGTCTGAAGAGTGTCCAGATAACATTTACAATGGTCTAAAAAGATGGGTGAAGTAATATCTTTTACTGGACCAACTGCTGTTGGTAAAAGACATAAGCTTTTGACTATACAGAGCTCTTCTTCTGGTAGAACTCTATGCAGCTCTAAAACTTGTCTCTCACAAACAGAAATTGTTCTGTAAAAGAAATTACCTCCCCCATATTGTCTCTTTAATATACTTGGACTGCTAAGGCTATACTACCAGAGCAATTTACAATTGTGTTAATTAGATTAAAATGTGCAGGCAATTAATTAACTTGAGATGCAAGATCAAGACTGTAGTTTAGATAAATCATTAATAAATACATAATTTGGAGGCAGTGGATAACCAGGCCAGAGACTCTGAAACCCATATATTAATGTTTCTAAAATACGTCTTCGCATTATGGCTCCTAATTTGAATTTATGCTCACACAGGACTGTTATTCCTATCAGCTGTGATGTTTCCCCACTAGCTACAACCATGACTACGACATTTATTCCAAACTCACACCAATCATATCTGAGCACCCTGAAAACTTGACAACAATACTTCCTTAAATTGAAAACAATTACAAAATTTCCATTTGCTAGGAAAGTTAAGAAAACGGAGTCAGTCTACTCTAATTCCATATTTTATATTCTTTGGTAGGCAAGGCATAGCATTCATGTGGGCCAAACAGGACAAGTTCTCTATCTAACAATCTAATAATAAATTCTAGTAACTGTACCTTCTAGTCTCTGCATTCATTGTGGCTCTGCATTCTATCAATTGAAGAAATCCTGAAAATATGATTTTTTTTAACCTACAGGATTGAATAACCAACATTGTGATTAAGGGCCTATTTAACTTGTGATACTGCAGGAACTGTGGATTCTGCAACATTAGAGTTCCTCCACAATTTTGTCAGTCCAGCAGCTGACAGTAGGAACCCAGCCCTCAGATAGGCACCTGAAAGCAGGAGTCCTGCCCTCCACAGCTCGTTTAGTCGGTGGACAATGAGAGCCCCATCCATCAGCCTGGTGGCTGACAGTGAGAGCTTCTGCTGTCAATCCCACGCATGGCTAATAGAAGGAGCAGGTTTTCCAAATCATCATAAACAATAGAGTTCCATTATCACGTTTCCGCAATTTTCCATGTCTTGCCCACAACTCAACTGCAATTATTGGATAACCATCTCAAAATGCAAGTAGGGCCTTAATCATGATCTTTCACCTTCTTCCTCTGTGAGGAGAACCTACCATCCACTCAAAAGGCAGATGCCAGACAAAAAAAATTTCTAATTTAATGTTATAATAAAAATACATTACGGTGAAGATATATTAACTGCATTTTAATTTTCCACACCACTAATAAGCAATGAATTCTGGTGGGAATTGTGATCAGGACAAACATGCAGAATCCATTGCTGAAAAAAGAGAAATAAATGAGCTCCAGAGGAAGCAAACTGCACTGAAGCATTAAGTTCTCTCTACATGAGAAAGGGTAATTTCACCTCTGTACTAACCCTCTCACATCAAACGGATTCACTTGTTGTGTTATAATTCAAACTGAACATGTTACTTTTGTAGAAGATAACAAAAATAAAAAATACACACTACAAATTCCTGGAAGAAAATAATAATAATTTTCTTGCTTAATACCACTTTGCTTTATTGTCAAAAGGAACTTCTTAATTGAAGTCTCATGAAATGGGAAACTGTGCCTCAGCATTACCAAATATCCCTCCGTGGAAAAATAAAAATACTTATTTCAGTGATACACTAGTTTCCTTTGCTAGAGAAAGTCAAAATGATATTTTTCTTGTTTTTTAAATTAAAGAAAGTCTAAACTGATCTTTCAGTAACTTGTTGTAAGGGTTGTTTGACAATGGTTTGGAAAACAGAACTGAGCAATTTTTACTCAATTCAAAAACTCATTTTCCCAGAGAAATCAGTTTTACAAATACAGCCTATTCATGCTGAAAATATGGTTTGGTGCCAGACATTTCTGGGAATAAAAGCATTTTTAATGTATTTGGAAGAAACAGACAATTAAAAGGAAACTCTAAAGGTAACTCTGTATAGCACTACATGAACTTAATGCTAGTCTAAACTGATGCTAGCATTGAGAGAAAATGGAGGAAATGAAAAAGAATAGGGAAAATCAGAGGATGGAGTTTATCATTTTAATGTCAGTGTCCATTTAAGTGCTAACTAGAAATAATGTTTCTATAATGAGAATATAAACAAATGCTATTAGCATAAAGATCTAACAAAAAAACTCTTCACAGTCTGACAAGAGACAAGAGAACATCTGGCCATTCTTATTCTCTCTCTGTCACAGATAAAATATACATATCTGGTAAATAGTACAGAATAACTATATCAGTATCGATATAGATGTATCTCCCATCATCCTGAAGGATCTCAATTTTCGTGGTACATCTTAACAACTCAACTATGTTTTTAGTTCTTTCCATCAGGAAACAAGCTATAAACTCTTAGCAGGATTGACAAAAAACATACATAAATATCAGAATTCAATTAAGGAGCAATCCCACAATAAAGAAAATCCTATAAAAATTGGAAAAAGCTAAGGACGTTTATACCAAAATATAAATGAATTCTGTGTGCAATTCTCTTCCTGCCTTACCACTTGGCACATTATATGAGAAAGAGAATGTTCATGGCAAAAGAGCATACCAGGTAATAAATAGATTTTATGGGTTTTTAAAGACTGAGCATAAACGAGATGCTCAATAACATATTACTCCCAAACCATTAACATTATCCTTCTTATACAAGACTAAAATACTCAAAGCATGAAATGGAAAATGGTGGGTTTATTTTGGCTTGTATAGATTTTAAAATTCTGTGCTGACACAGATATAATAATTCACTTCAGAAACCGATTCAAAGCACAAATAATTGTTATAGGGGACTAACGGGTGTGTGAAAGAGGCATGATGTGACTGGGAATCATAATGTTAAAAAATTCCTATTTGTTTGTGAGGAAGGATAAGTTGATTTACCTGAGCTTTGGCTGACAAATAATTTTCTTGGGGATGTCTAGACTACAAAACAAAGTCGAATTAAGATACGCAACTTCAGTTACATTAATTGTGTAGCTGAAGTCGAAGTAGCTTAACTCGGCTTTTGGAGCTGTCTACATTGCAGGAAGTCGAAGGGAGAACACTTTTCCTTCTACTTCCTTTGCCCCTCATGAAAGCAGGGTTAGTGGAATTGACCACAGTGCTCCTCTCACTTTGAATTAGCTGTCTTAACTAGACCACTAATTTGAACCCTAGAAGATTGGCAGCGGCAGCTTCAAACTTCTGTAGTGTAGACGTACCCTTGGATATTAAAAGTTCTAGAGGAGGTCCTGTTGCTCTGTGTTTTGAGAATCTCTCTCACATGTTCTCTGCTACAGATTAATTTTCAAATTCTTTATGTCCTAGAACGGGATGAACAGATGCCTTGGATGGCTTGTAGAGGTAATACGAAATCTAGCATATATCGATATTTTTGATTCATGAGGCCTCAGAGGGCAAGTTCAGAGAGAATGATAGAATGAGGGATATAGACTGATGGCTTCTAAAGAATATTTTTTTGGCTTAGCTATATTCTACAGTATAATTGTCCTCGTCTGGGAAGTATATATTCAAAGCCATACACTTTGCCTGTGAGAGTCTATACCCCGGACAATTGGTACAAATCTGTTTCATTCTTATATTACAGCACGCCCTACAATGGTGGCAATTGGAGCTAACAAATCCAGAAAACAATGTAATTTGTTTATACACAGTCTGAGAATGGTGAAATTAGTTGTTAACTTATTTGTAGTCTCCTGCCAATGTCATCAACTCTGACATTGAAGGATGAACCTAAGAAAGACAAGGCAGGCTCCATGCAACTCAATAGGTCAAGGAAAGATTACAGTTGTCATGGGATATTTGTTTGTACTTTTTTAAAGAAAAGTTTAGTCTAAAAAATTTCTACATTTGTACATGAAGTTAATCAAAGAGCTCTGGATCCAATATTTAGTCTGAATTTCACTATGTTAGGAGTTGCCAAATGAACCCGCTAATCAGCTAATCAGTCTAGTGCAAAGCACTTCTGCTAAACACTATGGGGTAGACATGATACCTAATAAAATGTAACATGTAATGTCCAGGCATCTCCAATGAGCACTTATTGTTTCAGGAAAAGAGAGCAAAGGGCTTGGGGAGAGAATTCAGGGTTAATATAAGAAAGACTGAAATTGGGTCTGGTGATAAGGGGGGGGGGTAAAATTGTCAAAGTTATTCAACTTTACAGAAAATATTTCAAAAAGAGGAAGTATTTATTTTCTTCTCTGTCAGGTCTCTGTTGTTTTGTAGCCACCATGATACTTGTTCCTTCATGCTTTTAGCCCATCTGGTATTCAGAATGAAAATCTTTCAGGTTAAGCAGTGTGATAGATTGATATATAACTCATTACATCATTATGTTCAAGCAGAAGAAATTAATATTTAACTTGACTAACTTTGACTTGTCATCTTGTTTTTTTCTGGCAAAGGTACATTAAGCCAACAGAAAAAAAAATCCATGTCAATAAACTTGGATAGTAGATACTCCAAAGGTCATATACTTCATAAGAAATATCAACATTTCCTAGTTATTTTTGCCAATTGCATCAATATTGTTTTTAAAAGCAGAACCTCTTCTTCCGATACTGCCAAGCACAGCGAGATGGGGAGCTTTTGCTAAGTGACATGGACAGAATCCAGCATGATCACAATGTGAAAATGCTCAAGATAAGAAAAAGAAACAGGTAATCTGATCAAGTTACAAAAGGGCAGCAAACACTGAGATGTAAATTACTAAAGCAAGAACCAATAAAGAGTCAGATCAAACTATAATAGTCAAACTAAATCTTTCCCATAAAGATTATGAGAGAAAATTATAAGTGGCTTTTAAAATCACTACTTGAACACTGTCGTCTATTATTTTGTTTTAAAAAATGTGACTGCAAATTCTCATTTTTGGATTGCTGAGTCTGAACAGCAGCATGTCAGTGCTTGGTTGTAATTCTGCTTTTCTAAACACCAACAAAAATTTTTGACAAATTACAATAATTTTTGTAGAAGTTTAAGTAAAACTTGAAAAGTCATCTTCAAATTAAGCAGAATTATGTTTGTCAGGTTGGAAGCTTGACAGGGAATTTTCCAGCTGGATCATTGATAAGAAATGACAGTTTCATAACTCAACAATTCAAGAAAAGTCAGAATTAAAGACAACATTCATGAATTGATTAGTTTTTATCATGAGGGTTTTTTCTTTGTCATATCAGGTGAAATACATGCTTGTTACTTTCATAATCTATTGCACTGCATGTGCTACAGCCAAAAATAAGGGAGAAGTTGGAGACCCAGCCATTAATGATTTAGAAAACATCTTATCATGTACAAAATAATATGGATTAAGAATAATTTAAAAAAATAAAAAAAAAATCTATTTTCCATATTGATGCCATAAAGATAAACATTCTATTTCCTAATAGGTGCCTTCAGATAACAAATGCTGAATTTATATTCCTTCTAGTCACTGTTTATATGCCATTTTTGTATTCATACATGGCTCTGCCTTTTATTTCCTTCCATTCTCCTTTCCTTGGTTAGATTAGAGAGGTAGGGTGTTAATGGAGGAGTTGATATAGATTGAAGACCTATCTTCCTCTCCCTCTCCCTCCCCCCCCCTCAGAGACCAGCCTGATTTGAGCAAATTGAGGAGAGTGCAGCAGCCCCTTTGTGTCCTTGGAAAGCCTTTTCCATTTCAGCATTTCCTGCTGCCAGGCATGGTCCCCTTTGTTCACAGAGAGAACATGAAAAAAGGTGCCTGTAGAAGAAGGTTGTGAATATTTTTATATAGCATCATGGAGACGGCAAAAGCTCCTTTCCACTCTCCTTCATGGTTGGTGAGCATGTGTACGTGAGGTGGATCCAGTGAGGGAGTGCAGAGAACTGGTGCTTGAGGCTCGGACTGGGCGAGAAACAAGCTGTTGTGTGCCAGTACCCAGTTCTGTTGTTGACACTTCCTTGTTACCCTCTTCCTTGGGAGCATTGTTTTGTGCTGGACACTCAAAATGCACACAGTGAAACACCTAGAAAAAATGAAGAGATAAAGCAAAACAATTAAACATTAGCAAAAGCACGAAGAGAACTGAAAAACAATGTAAATGAAGCACACAGTGCCAGTGCCAAAGGGCTGATCCAAGCTGGAATGTTTCACCATGAGGTTAACAGTCTGTGTTCAGGACCCACAACTACTATAGTTGAAACAAATGTGAGCAACAGCCACATAGAGAGAGGGAGTCTTTAGTGTGAGGTGATGAGCTTGAAATCAGAGAGAGTTCTGAAGCACGTGGGGACATTTTGTTGATTTGGAAAAATCCTTTAGCTTGCAAAGCACCATATCTATAATTAAAAACTATCAAATGAGAATGAAAGTGACTTAATTAAGTTCCAGAAAGGCTAAAAGTCCATGTTATCTTTGAATTAAAGTTAAATTAATGCAGATGATGTTATCTCTATTGTATTCAGTAACACCTCAGCAGATGCAGAATTTTGCAGTACACAAAAATAGGATTTGCCAGGTCCAAAGAGACTTCTGCTTCATCAAATTCAGTATCCTGTTTCAAACAGCAGTTAATACTCGATGTTTCAAGATTCATCTGGGTCACTGTGAAAGCAGTACATAGGGCCTTCCAGACCCTGAAGCTTAAATCCTGAAACAGGAAGATTTCCCTTTAAACATTTTTCACCTAATTTCCTAGGTTAGTAAAGCTGCTTAGAGAACACCTGTTCATGTAGCTATTCAGTGGGTCCTTCTAAATGCCATTAAACTGTTTGCCTGAATGATTTTCCCAGGGCAGTGATTTGCACAGATTTACCATCAACTGCATAAAGAAATCTTTCCTTTCATTAATTTTAAATTTGCAGCCAATCAATTTCATTGAGTGTCCTCTTGTTCTTCTGTCATGGCACTGGTTGAAGAGAGATGCCTGATCAGTTTTTACTAAGCTGTTCATTATTTTGTATGTTTCCATTATGTTTTATCTTATTCTCCTTTTAAATAGTCAAAAACTTTTAAATGTCATCTCATATCCACATAGACCCATTGAAACCTCTTCAAATCTTAGCTGTCTTATGCCAGGCCTATTAAGTTCAGCAGTATCCTTTCCGAGGTCAGATGACAAAACCAAACAAAGCATACAAAGTGTGAACATATCGTTGCTTTATACAAGACCATTGTAATATTGTATATTATTTGCTATCCTCTCTTCAAAACAACCTGGAATCCTATTAGTCTTTTCCACTGTGACTGCACATTAAGCAGACATCTTCACTGAACCCCGAGATCTTTTTCCTGAGAGTTGCTAGCTAATTTAGAACCCAACTGCATGTATGAAATCAACAGAGCTTTATTCACAGTCATGTTTCTGTAGCTCTCTTATTATAATTTCTTGTGTCCTTTTTGGTGCCAGAATTCTTGTAATTTTTGTTGTCTACTCTGTTATTTTCTCTCCACCTCCAGGTGTGAGATTATATATATATAATATTAACTAATCTCTGCATTTGCAATTGCTGTGCTAATCTTTCATTAAATAGATTCCTCAAAGACTGTCATTACTTGCCCGGTTTTGAAGGTAACAGCCACTGTCATTTTTCCTGCTTCCATTGTAAGCATCAGGATTGAAGGAAATGGACTACAGATGATCAATGCATCTTTATCATATACTGCTTTCCTAGCAAAGGAGTGTAGTCAAAATGAGTAGGGTACAAGTCTAGAAATCATGTAGATAGTGTTTCTCATTTAAGATTTTAGTTTCTATATGTACATCTTTTTATAGAGTAGCTATTATTAACCATTAGCTGATATCAGTCTATAAAACCAAAATAATCTTGGCTCCTAAATTATACCTTTAATTGTTACCATTTCTTTTTCCTGCCAGGCTGTAATGTTCACCCCAGTAGCTGCCACACTGACACAACTGTGGACTTAAGAGGTGTTTTATCATTGTTTCAATTTAACACATATAGAGCAGTGCTGCTGAAGGGGAGAAAGGATTCAGAAGAACAGTCCTGGATGCATCAATTCCACTCAGTATTTCATTTATATCTATTATAGCTAAAGTAAAACAAACAATGAAGCATGTGCTCCTTTATAAAAGCAGGAACCAAGAGCTCAGTATTATCCTCTAATTTGAGGATTTCTTGTGCTTTCCTTGGAGATTTAATGAAGCTCTGACATCCAAATAGGGAGAACCAAACCTCTCTACATTAGTCTGAAGACAAGAGTCCTCTCCCAGCTTGAAGATTTTGAAACACCTTTGTATGACTACTAAAACTGGAGGGGGAAAACGAGACACAAATGATACTGGTCTAATAAGGATACTATCCAAAGTTGTTAGTCACAATAAACCAATGACAAAAGGCTTGAGAACAAATATTCTTTTTTCTTATTTTAAAAAAATAGAAGGATAGACAAGACAAGGAAAAAGAGCCGATTAAAACTTTTTATACTGAAATATGAAAAAAACAATCAACATTTCATTTGCAATCTGTGGTCTTCAATTCTGTCAGCAAATGGCAAAGAAACAAATGGACAGAAGAGTTTATAAGAATTAAAAACATTTACAAAATGGCTCAATGTCAACGGACTCTCCCAACCACCAACTGCAAAAAACAGTCAACCTTCCACTGCCATCCTGAGAAATGCCTGGAAAACACAGAGATTATGCTCTAAAACCATAAAATACAAGCTCTGACAAACCAAGCAGGGAAGTACATGCTAGAGTTGTGGACTTCTTATTGAGAACAGGCTGTCAGCAGACCATTTTGTTTACAATTACACTGTTTCAATCAAGAAGTCTACTTTTTATAGGCCAATAAATCTGGTTGTTTGAAAAAAGAATCATACACAAGCAGCATGTGCCCATATTAATTTCAAAGCATGTGCCCAGATTAATTTTCTATGTATCTAAGCTAAGAAATCCTAAAGGAATAAAAGGAAAGGAGCAGAATAAATTATGGTTTGAATATAAATATGATAAAGGCAGGAAGTGACTGGTAAGAATTTGCCAAAGAGCATCTGATCTGAAAAGGATGAGGAAGCCATGTAACAAATCAAACACACATTTGTGAAAAGAACAAAGCAGTAACAATGAGCTACTGCTACATATCAATAATCTAAACAAACTGTGACACATTGAACAGAAGGAACAAAGTGAGTAACACATTTATAGATCCTGTTATAACAGCTTAGGTGTACATATTTTGTAAAAGAAGGAAGTAGCGACCCAGTTCTTCTCTCTGTGAAGTCAATGGGAGTTTGGCTATCAGACCTCAAAAGAAAAAGAACACTTCCCTTTAAGAAGAGCAGTCACTGACTTATGAGGAATAAAAGGACATGATAAAAACAGAACAATAAATTTTGGAAGAGGAAAAAAGATTGGGTGAAGTCAAATGGCATCAAAGGAAAAAAAAGAAAGAACAACTGAGAAATGGGAAGTTTTCAAAAATATATTAATGGATGTCTGTCATCTTGTGATAAGCACAATAAGGATAGAAAAAAATGCCAATGTGAATGAACATGGTAGTATAAAATGGGGATGTTAAAAAGCATGTAATATGTTAATCGTGTAGGTGCCAAAAATTTTGTTGACTACACGATTAATCAATAAGGGTTAGCACTGCAAGCACTTAGTCCCAGTTTGCACCAGATCTGAGAGCTACCCCCTTTGTGGCTCTGCACTGAAAGTCATTTAGAAGCTGGGTGGGCAGGCAGATCTGCTCAGTCCTGGCTTGTGCTGGGTCCCAGGAGCTACCCCCACTCTTGCAGAGCTGCAGCGGGGGTAGCTCCCTGGACAGAGCCGGGCTGCATGCCATCCCGGCTCCTAAATGACTTTTTATACAGAGCTGCAGTGGGGGTAGCTCCTGGGACCCGGCATGAGATGGGACTGAGCCAGGCTCCTGGCCAGCCTGGCTAAAATATTTACTGGCACAAGGGGGAGGGTGGGGGAATGCATGTAGCTAATAGCATTAATCGATAAGCATCTGCTTATTGGTTAATCATTTAATCAACTACATAATTACACCCCTAGTATAAAATACAATCCAGACTAAAATAGGTGAGATATACAACATCAAGTTCACAGGAGGATTACAGAGTGAAATCAGAGGAGGGGGAAAAGAGGGGTAGAGAATAAAAATAACATTTAATGAGAAGTTAAAATAAATGAATGGAAGAACAATTCTAAGTGCATATTGAACAAAAGGTTATTGAAGAAGGCACTGGGGCCTCCAAAAGACAGCATTAGTGGAATTTGACAGAAGTAGTAAATGCTGCTAAAAATGTAATGCATTAATTGCCTCAGTGTTTTCAAAAGTTGAGAGCCAGAAGTAGACAGACTTTCCCAGAGGAAACATACAATACTGAGGGAAATCACAATCATGCTGAACAGATAATGTAAAAAAAAGTCAAAACATCCAGGGTATGTCTACACTACAAAGTTAATTCGAACTAACAGACGTTAGTTCGAATTAACTTTGATAGGCGCTACACATACAAACCGCTAGTTCGAACTTAATTCGAATTAGCGGAGCGCTTAATTCGAACTAGGTAAACCTCATTCTACGAGGACTAACGCCTAGTTCGAATTAAGCAGTTCGAATTAAGGGCTGTGTGGCCACTTAATTCGAACTAGTGGGAGGCTAGCCCTCCCCAGCTGTCCCTGGTAGCTACTCTGGGCACCACCAGGGAAACTCGTCTGCCCCCCTCCC